TTTTTTGGTATTTTACCTATAATTTTTATTGATACAGTTAACCGCTTGCCGCCCTGCCACTGTATATATACACGTGTGCAGGGCGGCACTCAGGCGCAAAACCACGTTTTAAAACGGGTTCCACGCTCCCGGCGTTTTCGCCGGCAGGGGGCGCGCACGCGCGCTGACGCCGACCCGCAATTGACACCATTCGATCCCGGAGGGATCAATCATTAGATTTCAGCCAGTGATGTCTGGCTGAAATCAGATGATCGGTCCCTGTCCTATCCTGTCCTGTGTTGAAGTTTACACAGGACAGGATATGATGTAATTCTTCTCTGCCTGGGCACATTCGTCCCAGACATAGAAGAAGACACAGTAAAAGTGAGTAAAACAGCACATACCCACAGTTAGAACACACCTAGGTCACATTTAACCCCCTGATCGCCCCCCCCCCCCCCCAGTTAACCCCTTCACTGCCCTGTCACCAGTGTCACTGATCAGTGAATCTATTTTTACACTGTATCAGTGTCACTGGTGACTTCCGATATTGATAGCGCCGCTCCCATATAGCGCCAGTTTGCCCGCTAATGCACAGGATTTTTTTTTTTACCAAAAACATGTAGCAGAATACATTTTGGCTTAAATTTATGACTAACTTTGAGTTTACGATATATTTTTTTAGCTGAAGGTAGAAAATATTGTTTTTTTCCAAAATTTTTGTGTTTTTTTTGTTTTATAGCGCAAAAAATAAAAAGCGCACAGGTGATAAAATAACACCAAAAGAAAGCTCTATTTGTGTGAAAAAAAGGACGTAAATTTTGTTTGGGTACAGCATTGCATGACCGCGCAATTATCATTTGAATTAGTGCAGCGCCAAACAGCAAAAAAAGGCCTGGTCATTAAGGGGGGTAAATCCTCAGGAGCTCAAGTGGTTAATATTTTATGTATTTATCTATTATTTGATTGCTTGTTATATCTATTATGGATCTCTCATGGATGTCACATCTGGAGTAGCTGCTGTGTCCCAACTGACATCAATTGGACTGCCTGCATGGGGATGCATGGAACATCTGTGCATCCCTAAGCAGGTTAAAACAGCTTCTCATGGGTATTTGCTGTGGGATGCCCCATGTGAATATGGCCATTTTTTTGTGTTGCAATTAGGGTCAAATTTTTTTTTTTTTTTAGGCTAGCTGGTAAGCGTGCTGGGAAATTTCAGTTTGCTTGTATTGTGCAATGCCCTCCCATGTGCACCTTACTTCAAAAGCTAGTTGTTAATTGAGGTGGTTAAAATGCCTGAATAGCTTTTTTGCTGGATTTGGTGTTTTTGGGTGGGGGGGTGTTTTAACCTTTCACTGCCAGGTCTGTGGATGGGGGCGTCTGTATATCTGACAAGTATACCAGTATGGCCGGGAAAGACTGTAATGCAATGCGATCTGGACTGGATTCCATTAAGTGGAGCACAGGGGAAATATCAGATGTTTCATGAAAGAGTATGTGTCACCAGAAAAATCACCACATTAGGGGACGTTTTGTCCACTGTGAAAAAAAAAAAAGTTAAAAAAAAAAGTTTTCAATTGTAAAAAAAACTTACACCCAAGCATCCCCCCCCCCCCACATGCAAAGTCAGGGGTGCCTACGCATAAAACGTTGATTGTGTGCTACACGTTACGTATTCCGTAACACCAGACTCTGACGAATGCGGCGTCAGACCCCTGACCTCCTCACCAAACTCAAGACCGAAGGACTAGCCAATCTAAAACCGTGATGTCACGTGCGTAAACAATGCCAAGCCCAGCTGCACTCTGCACAACAATTTTCCAGCTAATTGGACCACAATCTGTGTACCGGCAGCCTGGGAGCGATTGTTACTGGGTCAAGTTAATTACGCAATTAACCCTTCACACTGCCACACGATTGTTATGGGTCAAGTTAATTACGCACCTCCTTTTTGTACAGAGATTGGGGAAACTCGGTGATATCAGCTATAACACTATAATGGTTGAGATAATCGTCTGTATAACACGGTCACCGCAGGCCGGTTTGTTACAGAGGGTCAAACAAACAGAGTAGCGCTCTTTTTAGAGGCAGGAATTTGTAAATTGCTATAAAGAGCTATAGAAACAGTTCAACGCTTTCAGAAGGAAAGATTTATTACTAAAAGGTCAAAAGGGTGCAATAAAAATATTTACAGAAAAAAGATGTAACTAATATATATTATACATAAATATACAGAGAACAACAGCACAGCAAAGGGATAACAGAGAGAAGTTAGAGGGTTAAAGTACTTGCCAAAGTCCTGGGTTAGCAGATCAAGTTTCAGAGCGAAAGGGCATGGGTCTCCCCAGGTGGTTCTGATGTTAAAAGGGAGAATTCTTCAACTTCCTTTCTTAGGCTTGACAGCCCATTTTGTATTTCCCTAGCAGGGGGGTGTCTCTGAAGTCAAGGACCATTACTTGCATCGTTTTTTTCGTTTACGGAGGGAAGGTCTGGGCGTAGACCTAAACTAGAGCCAAAATCTCTTATAGTTCATATTTTGGCTCATATTTTGGCTTTTCTCTATGCAGAAGTGACATTCCACCCGCGGGTAAATTATTATGCAGACACATCTGAGGAGTGGGTAGATATGAAATAGATATTTGGGGTTCCAGAAATGTAGTTTTCTGCTTTCCTAGGTATTCCAGTCAGGGAGTGTGACCTATCAAACTGTTTGTCTCCTCGTGGCCAATCTGAAGATATGGCTGGTTTTTATGTAAGTCTCTCATATTCCAAGATATGAGACATAGGGGAAAAAATGGATTTTAAAAGTGCTATGTGGTTCGTGCTTCTCTGGAATGTCTTTGAACTCCTGGGAAGGCTTGCGTTCTCTATTACGAGGTGCTTATATTGCACAGCTCTCTTAGACAACCAGGTGCTTTAGCTCAAATATGTTTTATAGCTCTGGGTTCCCTTGTGCCCCTGCTGTGCTCCTAACACAAAGGCCATGTCAATGTGTTGTGTGAACACTCCTAACACACAGGCCATATGTCAATGTGTATGAACAGAGAGAGGGGGAAGGCTATGTTTTGTCAGGATGGTTGACCCTTTCCCAAGATGGAGGTTGAAGTCAAAATGGTTGAACCGCGTCCATCTCTGGGTGTACGCCTGCTACACCTCCCCCCTCAGGTGGTTGCATTGGAGGGGACTGCAATTTCCCTCCTGACGCAACTCACTTCTGCCGTGGGCTTGCCTGACCAGGGCAGAGAGCCACTGTACCCAGGGGTTCACCTTGGGGTGATATGCACTGCGGAGAAACAAGTTCCTTTTGAAAAGTAAGCTGTTGTCCACGGCAACACTGCTGTGCCAACCAAGTGAGTGGTCACGGGTGAGCACCAGTCGGCTGTGACTCTCCGGATATCGTGGCGACTGCCGGGGTGCCCACCTGTTCACGAAACACTTCGGCTCAGGGGTGTCATCTGCTAACATATTAATATGTAGCTTCTTGTCGAGGTAGAGATTTCCCTCTCCCATCTTCTTCCTCAGGCCTAGGACTACATCTGCCCGAAGGTAGTGGCGCTTGTGTGCACCGGTAGTGGCTTGTGTGCACCGGAAATCCGGACAGGCGAATTCTGGAAACTCAGCTCCCAGATGTGTCCACAGGTACCTTCATCCAAGATGAACAGTCCTCTTTACCTGCTAGCATCCAGGACACCAGTTCCGCCAGTACTGCTAGCATCCAGGAACAACACCAGTTCCGCCAGTGTCTGCCAGGTCAGTCACAGGTCCAGCTGAGCCAGGATAGTTGCACTGCGGTGTCTTACCGTAGCCAGCTGCACCCAAGACTGACGTAACCTGCTTTTTGGCCTGGGGAGTAGGCCAGGCCACACCTGCCTCAGTCTCCCCATGCCCAGACCTCTGGGGGTCTCTTCCTACCGGTGGGTCCCAAAGCTGAACCACTGACTTGCCCCTCTGACAGTTACCCTTCTCGACTGTCAGAATAGGCACGGGCAGTTGGTTCCTGACTAGTGACAGGGGCCCAAGTTGCTCTTCCCAGACAGGGCCGAACACTGCAAGGCCCCTAAAGTGGGCAACTGCACCCAGTTCCACTCCGCATTGCAAGTAATTCCTGACACTTGGGGAGGTGGTTGGTGCGTTCTCAACCCCAACTAGCTTTCTCGTGAATTCAGGTAAGCCATATGGGGTGGTGAAGGCTGACTCGTCCTGAGCCTCCTGGGTTAGAGATGGTGGCCCATACCCTCTGCTCAGGTCCATGATGGTAAAACAGCGGGCACCTTCCGGAAGGCTTCATAACGTCATGGTCCCTGGGCATGGGGTGTGCCACACCCACAGGGCTGGCGCTCAGTTTTCCAAGGTCCTCAAAAAGCCTGGTCATCTGATCCGGTTTGGGGATCGAGACTACCGGGGATGCCCAGACTCTAGCTGACCCCTGGATTCCTGACTGCGCCATTCCCTCTGTCTCTTTGGCCAATTCAGCCTGCACCTCCTGGGAGATGAGGTTGGCAGAAGGCAGGAGGGAGGCATGCATTCTGCCGTCTAACTTCTGAACCGCACGGTGAGCTCTCCCCGGGTTTCCCAGAACCCAGACATCTATCATAGGCATTGCCAGCAGCTTCTGTACCTGAATAGAAAGAAGAGGTGATTGTAGCTGACGGCCGCAGCCCCCTCTCTGAGATCCGCGGATCAGCTCCAATGATGTCCCTCGCACTTCCAATCCAGGTGTGCGGTCACTGCCTAGGACACATGTTTGTCTGCCTAGTGACACACCAGGACAGGTCAGATGACATGCTTTCAGGCTCCAAGCCCCCTGCTAATAGGCCATTCATTCCATCCTCCCTGTCAGGCCTTTGTTTACCCTTCGCAGCAGGGAAGCTCACATCTAGCTGAAGGCTGAAATCCCTGTGTGAATTGCTTCTCAGTGCTGATCTGCACGTGGGACTACAAGTATTAGCCAGCTGTTTACCCTTTTCAGCAGGAAAGCTCTCAGCTAGCTGGCCTCTGAAGTTCATTTGTGGATTGCTTTTCAGGGCTGCCTTACGCATGGAACTACAAGTCCCAGCCGGCTTCCCAGTACCATGCAAGGCCAACGGCTGGGCACTTATCAAGGCATAATCTTCTGGGCCTGAGCAAGGAACAGGCCTATCCAGACCATCCCTTTGCTCAGCCCCCAGAGATTGTACCTCTGCCCCCTTCGCAGCACTGTGGGTGACCCCCAACAATGAAAATGCATCATTTGTTTCATCATGACCATCATTAGCATTACCAACATTCTCATCATTACTGACATTATCAATATCAGCATCATCGTCATCATTTGTATCATCATGACCATCATAATCATCAGTAGCGTTACCAACATTATCATCAACATTACTGACATGATCAATATCAGCCTCATCGTCATCATCATTATCAACAGTCACGTTTATATATCAATGACACATGCGTTCGATACCTCCCCAGGCAAGGGGATTTCTTTTCGTTTTCCAGCTAATGGAGAATCCTGTAGCCCCACTCCATTCCCAGCCCCCTCCCTCTGTCCATCCACAGGTTGCCCAGACATTACCCCAACATCTGCACACAGTACCTTGGCATGTCCAGAGAGTTCCAGGGGGCCCTTCCAGGTATTCTCGGTATCCGCACACAAAAAAACAGGTGTGGGAATTTTATCCAAGACCCCCACCTCCCTCATTCCCCTTCCCGCACCCCAGTCTATGAATACCTTGGCACAGGGTATGCGTGAATGGGTCCCCCCAACTCCTGTGAGGGTAAGGAACTTTTCATGGGATGAGGTTCCTTTGCTCAATCACCTCTGGCCGGATCAAGGTGACTTCTGCCCCGGTGTCCCGGAAGCCAGTTACAGACTGGTTGCCCACAGTGACTGGCTGCAAGTTGGCGGGGGTTACCTGCATCTTCCTGCGGACGAACAGCACAGAAGAAGAGTTGCTGACTGGCTGGCCAGATGATGTCATCTGCTTTTGCTTAGGACACTGCGTCCTGAGATGTCCGGCTTTCCCACAGGTGAAACATCTGCGGTTGTCAGGCAGGGATGGCTTGGCTCCAAGTGCTGCAGGTGTGGGCGGAGGGGAAGCTTGACTCACCGATGTAGGAGGGGTTGCTATGGGCGATTTCCCTCCTTTCCAGCCGTTCGGAGGAGCCTTGCGAGGGTCAGACACCCGCGTATGAACGTAGGTATTGGCCAAATCGGCTGCAGCTTTGGTAGATGCTTGCTCTCTCTCCAAGACCAACTGTCTGACGTCGGCCGGGCAGATATGCAGGAGTTGATCTCGTATCATGAGAGCTTCTAAAGACTTGTAGGAGTCAGCTTTCAGTCCCTTAGTCCACTGTCGGAACGTGGTGCGTAAGCGACTCACCACATCCATGTAAGAGTTCCCAGGTCCCTTTTGCATGGACCTGAACCGCTTGCGGTACACTTCCGGGGTCATCTGGTACTTCTGGATGATGGCATTTTTTAAAGCTTCATAATCGTCGTCCTGCCCCTCTGGCATTTCAACAAACGCATCCAGGGCCTTGCCTCGTAGCCCTGGGGTCAGGTACCGAGCCCATTGAGCTGGGGGCAGATGGTACTGACGGCACATTTTTTCAAATGACAGTAAATACGTGTCAATGTCACTATCCTTTTCCATCACTGGAAACTTGGCTACTTGGCCCACGGCCAGAGAGGCGTCCCTGTGCTCTAGGGACCCAAGGTTCTGAACCTGTCGCTGCTGGAGCCTCGCCATCTCCAGTTCGTGCTGACGATCAGCTTCCCTCTATGCCACCTCTCTCTCAGCCTGGCGTTCCTCTCTCTCAGCTTGGCGTTCCGCGGCTGCTCTGTCAGCCGCTCTCTCAGCCTGGCGGTCAAGGAGCTTCAAGTATGCCATAGGATCTGTCTCCATGATGCGTTTCAGGGCTTCCTGCATCTGAGGAGTGTCGCTGCTGGTTACAAGCACTCTGTTGCTGGCCCGCTCAGGCGGTGGTGTGACGATACCATTCGGTGATCCTCCAGTGTCAGCCTCTGTATGCCCATCCTGCGAGGCTGTCTCTGAGCCACTGGGAACGTAGGTAGTGGGAACCCCGTCATGGTCAAGTTCTCCTGAGTTCTGATCTGCTCAGCTATCATGCTCCTGTAGGTCCCGAATCAAATCATCACAGGTTTTGCGACCGACGTCCATTCCCCGTGAGGCACCTCCCACAGAACAATGTATAGGGGGTGTCCATACACGAGAATGTCCATCCTGCTTGGAGTGTAGTGTTTCCTCTTATCTATACTGAAAACCAGTTAAACCAGTCCTCCCCTCCCCCATAAGCTCTCTGGAGAGCAAGCTTCCCATCCTTTACATGCTATCAGCTCCTAGTAGTATGTTCACTCTCTGTACAAGCATCCCCTAGATTAAACCGTGTCAGTCTGTATCTGAATGGGCCCGATACGATCTTTATTAAAACACATCCATCCAGATACAGTTCAGGTCGGTAGTGGCTTGTAAGATATACATGAGCCTACACGCGGAGTTCGCACTGCCCGGCGCCTGGCCATACGAAGTCCATGTGGTACTATGCTGCTGATATGTGGATACAGGCCCGCGGCATTGGCATCGAATGCCGTGGTGGCATACACGCCAGTCTATAAGCGCAGATCTGCCATCTCATCCATTACCGAGCTGAGTACTGTAATATATACATTGCAAATGCGCATGGCCTAATTGCAGCCTTCAGAGCTTTAATTAAGCCACACAAGAGACATATGAATAACACTAATATATGACACATTTAAAGTTCAACCTGTAATACAAAATTTCCATGACAGCAGCACATGTGCCTCCCACTTGTTAAGGGACCAAAAGTAATGGGACAGAATAATAATTATAAATCAAACTTTCACTTTTTAATACTTGGTTACAAATCCTTTGCAGTCAATTACAGCCTGAAGTCTGGAATGCATAGACATCACCAGACGCTGGGTTTCATCCCTGGTGATGCTCTGCCAGGCCTCTCTACTGCAACTGTCTTCAGTTCCTGCTTGTTATTGGGGCATTTTCCCTTCAGTTTTGTCTTCAGCAAGTGAAATGCATGCTCAATCGGATTCAGGTCAGGTGATTGACTTGGCCATTGCATAACATTCCACTTCTTTCCCTTAAAAAACTCTTTGGCTGCTTTTGCAGTATGCTTTGGGTCATTGTCCATCTGCACTGTGAAGCGGCGTCCAATGAGTTCTGAAGCATTTGGCTGCATATGAGCAGATAATATTGCCCGAAACACTTCAGAATTCATCCTGCTGCTTTTGTAGCAGCAGTCACATCATCAATAAAAACAAGAGAACCAGTTCCATTGGCAGCCATACATGCCCACGCCATGACACTACCACCACCATGCTTCACTGATGAGGTGGTATGCTTAGGATCATGAGCAGTTCCTTTCCTTCTCCATACTCTTCTCTTCCCATCACTCTGGTACAAGTTGATCTTGGTCTCATCTGTCCATAGGATGTTGTTCCAGAACTGTGAAGGCTTTTTTAGATGTCGTTTGGCAAACTCTAATCTGGCCTTCCTGTTTTTGAGGCTCACCAATGGTTTACATCTTGTGGTGAACCCTCTGTATTCACTCTGGTGAAGTCTTCTCTTGATTATTGACTTTGACACACATACACCTACCTCCTGGAGAGTGTTCTTGATCTGGCTAACTGTTGTGAAGGGTGTTTTCTTCACCAGGGAAAGAATTCTTCGGTCATCCACCACAGTTGTTTTCCGTGGTCTTCTGGGTCTTTTGGTGTTGCTGAGCTCACCGGTGCGTTCCTTCTTTTTAAGAATGTTCCAAACAGTTGTTTTTGGCCACGCCTAATGTTTTTGCTATCTCTCTAATGGGTTTGTTTTGTTTTTTCAGCCTAATGATGGCTTGCTTCACTGATAGTGACAGCTCTTTGGATCTCATCTTGAGAGTTGCAGCAACACATTCCAAATGCAAATAGCAACTTGAAATGAACTCTGGACCTTTTATCTGCTCATTGTAATTGGGATAATGAGGGAAAAACACACACCTGGCCATGGAACAGCTGAGAAGCCAATTGTCCCATTACTTTTGGTCCCTTAACAAGTGAGAGGCACATATGCAAACTGTTGTAACTCCTACACCGTTCACCTGATTTGGATGTAAATACCATCAAATTAAAGCTGACAGTCTGCAGTTAAAGCACATCTTGTTCGTTTCATTTCAAATCCATTGTGCTGGTGTATAGAGCCAAAAATGTTAGAATTGTGTCGATATCCCAATATTTATGGACCTGACTGTAAGTCTCTCATATTCCAAGATATGAGACATAGGGGAAAAATGGATTTTAAAAGTGTTATCTGGTTCGTGCTTCTCTGGAATGTCTTTGAACTCCTGGGAAGGCTTGCGTTATCTTTTACGAGGTGCTAGATTGCACAGCTCTCTTAGACAACCAGGCGCTTTAGCTCAAAAATGTTTTATAGCTCTGGGTTCCCTGCTGTGCCCTGGCCGGCCTGTGACACTCCTAACACACAGGCCATATGTCAATGTGTATGAACAGAGAGGAAGGGGGGAAAGGGGATGAATGGGGGGAAATATGTTTGTCAGGATGGTTGACCCTTTCCCAAGATGGAAAATGGTTGAACCGCGTCCATCTCTGGGTGTACGCCTGCTACACAGACCACCTCCATAACGCTAAACTCATGACCTAGAAGTGGCTTTTAAAGCATCACCTATAGAAAATATAGGGTAAGTTGGTCGCCATTTCATGGCCATTTCATGGCCACACGCAAATTTAAGGTTTAACACATTGGGTATCTGTGAGGTGCAACCTTATCTTTTATATTTTACAAAAATTAAATTGGGTAATTTTATTCCGCTTGTGTGTGCCCTAAAATTTACTTTTTGTGTATTTTTTATTATTATATTATAATCCATGATTTATATAGCACCAACAGTTTGCTCAGCGCTTTACAATATAAAGGGAGACAATACAGCAACAATACAGTTCAATACAAGAGGGTTAGGAGGACCTTACAATCTAAGAGGGAGGGACTGGTGGTACAGAAGGTAATAACTGTGGGGGATGAACTGATAGGAGAAATAGAAGATTTGGTTAGGATAGGCTTCCTTAAAGAGAGGTTTTCGGAGATCGCGTAAAAGTGGGCAGAGTAGGCAATAGTCGGAAAGATTGGGGTAGAGAGTGCAGAGGATGGGGGGGAGGCTCTGGAGAAGTCCTGGAGACAAGCATAGGAGGAGGAGACAAGGGAGCTAGAGGACAGAAGGTTGTGGGTGGAGCAGAGAAGACGTTTTGGGTGATATTTGGAGACAAGATTGGTGATGTAATTGGGGGCAGAGTTAGAAATGGCCTTATTTGTTATTGTTAATGTTTTGAATTTTATCCGTTGGGCAATGGGAGGCCAGTGGAGGGATTGGCAGAGAGGGATGGCAGACATGGAACAGTTGGCAAGGTGAATGAGTCTGGCAGCAACATTCATCATAGACTGAAGAGGGGATAGCTTGTGATGAGGTAGGCCAGTGAGGAGGGAGTTACAATAGTCAAAGCGAGAGATAACAAGGGAGTGAATAAGTTGCTTAGTGGTTTTGGTGGCTAAAAACGGGCGTATTTTGGAGATGTTGCGGAGGTGAAGTCTACAAGATTTGGACAGTGACTGGA